TATATCTATATCTATATGTGTGTGTGCGTGTGCGTGTGTATGTATGTATGTATGTATGTATGTATGTATGTATGTATGTATATATATATATATATATTTATATCTGTACATATGTATATATGCATATATGCATATATGCATGTATGTATATATGTATACATGTATATATGTATATATGTGTATATGTGTATATGTGTATATGTGTATATGTGTATATGTGTATATGTGAATGTGTGTATGTATATGCAAATGTGACGCACATATTATGTATACATATATAAATATACACACACACACACACCTATGTACCTGTCTCCTATTAATGCTTCTATATTCTATACAGACGGATTGATCGAATCCAACTTGCCGAGGAGGGCCCGGGTGCCGGACGCATCTGCTGAGGCATCGAGACAGCCTCAGCTTGCGCGTGCTGGGAATACTGCCAAAAGCAGCGCGAGTACAGCATTCATAAGAATAGAATCAGCATCATATGAATCATGATGGCAATCTGCAGAAGCTGCGCTACACGGTGCATTCATGGCCATACTACTGACGCGGAGAGACACAAACATTCAAGTGAAACATCTTGAAACACCTCATCCTGCTCCCCTCTCGTCCTCCTCCTAATCATCGTCATCATGCTTTTGCCGAGGCGCTGCATCGCTGCAGCAGAGTCGCCACGTTCCGGACCTATGCAACAGCTGGGACTCTGATTGCACTGCCCCGGCCCTGCCAGGGCACTCTGACAGTTCTGAGCTCCGGTGCCACGGAGGCCGCACAAAGCGTCCGGCTACTGGTCATCGGCTTTCCCCAAGACTTCATCGGCTTAGCTGGGATCTGAACTGCAATCGACGGTTCTCCTGCCATCGCCATCGCCGTGGCTGTCGCCGGGGTGGTCTGCATAGTTCCGCACCCAAGTGACGGCCACGATGCGGAGTCGAAAGCCGAGCCTCACAAGTCCGCAGGCCCGGTAGGCATGTGCTTGTCAGGGCCCGTCAAGCTGAAGTTCTGGGCCGCCGGCCCCTGCATCAGCTGGAAGAGAATTTCCCGGAGGAACTGCAACAGCGGCGCCGCGCGCTCCTGGCATCAGCCAGCAGCAAAAGTTCGAAAGGCACTCCGGGGGTCGACTCAAAGACGCACTCCTCCTGCTGCTGCCACTCCTCCGCGGCCGCGGTGCCTGGCTCCCCATGAAAAGCCAGCACGGGCTTTGGTTCTATTCAAACGCTCTCCCGGCTCGCCTGCGACTTCCGCTAAGACGCTGAGGTCCAAGCCGGCATCCTGGAGGGTTCTAACAGATTCTAACGGATTTTAATTCAATTCGGAAAGAGTGCTTTCGCTTCGGAAAACCCTGGGTCCCAATCCTGGCTGGGCGCCTGGGCTCGAGCCGCTGAGAGCTCCGAGCAGGTGTGGAAGCCTTTCCCGATCTCCTGTCCATGCAGCTCTCTTTACTTTAAAAAAGCGCTCCACGTGACAGATGCCAAAGAACTTCCCGGGATTTGAGTGGAGCCCTCAAGACACCAACAAGCCTTTCACCAAAGCCCTAACTCGGCAGTCTGAAATCCCAAACCCCAAACGCACTGTATATCCTGCTAGCTAGCAGCTAGCTATCAGCCCCATAAGCCCTCTATCCCACAAAATCTACAGGCCTGAAACCTTAGCAGCCCTGCCCTGCAAACTCTAGAAACCCCTACACCCTACCGTATAAGCCCCAAGTAAACCCTGATCCGTTTTCAGCCCCTAAACCCAAAAAACACAGCAAGCGGCGGCAAAAAACACACCTCGGCGAAGGCGGCCGCTGTTCGCCGGGCATCGGCCGAGCACCTGCCCGGCTGCTTTCCGGCTTCCGGCCTAGAGCTCAAACAGGAGCTACGCGTCTCGATCTTTAGTTCTGAGATCTGTGCGCCATATACTTCTTATGTATTTTGACATATACATATAATATATAACACAATATGTGTATGTATGTATGTATATACATACATGTATATGCATATGTATGATAAATAAACGGTATGTGTATATATATATATGTATATATATACATGTATACACACATAACTATGTACGAAGCATTGCCGGGATCGGGGAGGGAAGGAGTGAAGAGGACCACTTCTCCATGCGCGCGCACGCGCGCGCGCGTGTGTGTGTGTGTGTGTTTTTTTTTGTGTGTGTGTGTGGGTGGGTGGGTGGGTGGGTTATATATACAGATGTAGACATACAGGAGTGTGGGACGTAGATGAAATTGTCTGTGCATGTGCATCTAGATGTGTGTGTGCGCCTTTGTGCATATGCAGACAGCCTTTGTACATCTTACGTACAAATACATATACATAGGATAAAGAAATAAATACATATGTATACATATATAAATATACGTATATATATATATGTATATATATAATGTATGTATATATGTGTGTAAAAATATGTGTATATAAACATATATATATATGTATGTGTGTGTGCCTGTGTGTAAATCTGTGTATATATACCTATGCCTTTGTACATATACATATATATATATATACATATGTAGACACATATATACACATGTGGATATAGATCATGCAAACAGACAGGTATCCGTGCATGGGCGCATCCACAAATCTTCCTGCTGATGCAGGCCGCCTGGATGCATCAAAGGCCGAAAGGTCCACGGAGGCAACCCGGGAGCCTGAGCCATGACATGGCTCAGAAGGCTAGTTGTCCCGCGGTACTGAATGAGAAGATCGCGTAAGCTTGTGTTTGTGACGACATCTGATGCATGCTAGACTATGCAGTCTGCACGCATGCTACTGGTAGCATCCTTTGTTGCCAATTCGACTACTTTAGGCTGGACAATGTTGCAGCAAATAAAGTTTCAAAGTTTGGCTTCGGCCTGAACAGATTCAGACAGACTAGAGTGGGCTAGGCCGGGTCAGCATGGATCGCACTGCAACGGTCTACCATCGTGTCATGCATGCCATCATCGCACACGTTGTCCGCACAAACCCTAAAACCGAAAGGCCCTGAAGCCTTCAAGGGGCTTCTCCAGCGAGGACCCGGCAATAGAAGAGGATTTCGCCACTTCGCGAACCGCCCAGCGCGTCGTCCTCGGCGTCGAGGGCATCTCCTAGTTAACTCTCTACCCTCCATCGGAGCCTTCGGCCATTCCCTTCACACCGTTCCATGACCATGACATTCCAGTACCAGGCAGAATATACTCGTACACTCCGGCCCTAAAAAGCGTGCAGTGTCTACGTCTCCCTGTCTCTTCCTACCCTAAAACCACACACTCTTAACCCCCAAACCCTGAACCCTGAAGCCAAAAAGCATTAGCTTTGGGACCCCGGCCAGGAAGTGGAGCTTGCGCAGCGTTTGCTTCAGAGCCGCGGAGGAAAGCTGTCCTCCGGGGAAGAGCACAGCACCTCGTAGCGAAGCACAGTCGCCGACGGCTGATGATTCATGGACATGTTCGTAACATGTATACCGACATACCGTATTTGCCGATCCAGCACTATCGTGCTACATCATCGTGCGAAACTAGGAGGTGCTGCGAGCTCTGACGTTAGTGTTCCTTCACACACACACACATATATATATATATATACATATACATATATATCTATATACACACATACCTACATACATACATACATACATACATACATACATACATACGTACGTACGTACATACGTACGTACGTACGTACGTACGTACATACATACACACATACACACATACATACATA